TGACATGATGCATATTAATTGACTGAATTCTGCTGACGCGATCAGTAGCAGGCATGCAGAACTTCCTGATTAAGTTCTGTTTGTTTGTTGCTCACAATTAAATCATATTTTGATTATCATATACGCAGACTCTTCTCGTATTATTCCAACGTGTTTCTGCTTTTGCGACCACACAAGCAAAAACATCAAGAAAACCCCTTGGGGCTTAAGAGTTTAAGAGCTACTTTTACTTAYGTAAACAACTCCAGACAATAAGACGCACCTTCTTTAACTAATCTCTTTTAACCATTATCTATCATGGAAGTTTTCACAACTTTGCGTTTTTCGTACTATAAATCTAGATGTAGATCAGCTTTTACCCCTACACATTTGCAGGAAGGTGAGTGGTTACATTCAAAGGATTCTCAACATCCAAAATTGTTAAAAAAAAGAAATTAGATTCTTCTTGTGTTTTCTGCTTCAAGATAACACACAGGCACTTAGGCCTTAGGTGCATTGACACCAGCCCTGTTTAGTCCCCTTTAATCTAACTCTAGTTCATTTGCTGGTTCCTTTGGGGAGGTGTGAATGTGTAATCAAACTCTGATGAGGACCGAAAAAGCGAATTCTGGCCCACCTACAAACCTAGGTCTCGGCTTAACTCAAGTGAGCTCTGGTGCGGTTCCAATGCATGTGTGAAAGTGGATCAGAGACCGCTCCAAAAGCAGGAAGTGGTCTACCATGCAGGGCATTCTGGGTAAATACAACAAAAACAACACAAGCACTAGCACTTGCCAAAGACAAAAAAGAAATCGTACAACTGCCAAAATCTGATGACATTCCCATGCTCTTTACATTTCATGAAATRYGTTGCACTCAGTGTCTTCTTCAGAGACTTTCATGTYGATTCTTTCAGTGGTTTTTGGTGCAGCGCCACCGCAGGTGAGGRGGTGAAAAGGTTGTTCACAGGGTTTGGTTTGTTTGATAAAGTGTGAAAGCAACCACACCAGCTAAAAATGTAAGCGTATTGCAATTTCAATCCCCAATCGAACCAAGTCTACYGAACAATCAGGTGAAAACACCCGAAGTCGCACAGAAATATCAAAAGGACTCACTCACGTTACCACCATAAAAAGACCATTTTGTTCCAACTTCTTTAGTGAAATCTATGAAAAACATCAAAAATCACACAGTTCGAGTCATAAAATTRCACCAAGGTGATTCTCAGAGCTTTGAGCTGAAAACCTGACAGGTTGATGATGCATCTCTAAACTACTGTCAGATCTTTGGTAGACTATCTCCTCAATTACTTTAAAATATACCTTTTAGATACTATTCATCTGCTGGAAATCATTTTTATGACTGACTGACAATTTTTTTGCCTTCTTTTTTCATTTTTAAGCACACAAGGACTGGACTGAAACTGCAGTAAAAGAAACAACAAAATCTGAAAGATATTTTAAAAATCTAARTAAATACTGATGACGATCACTTTAAATCATTACAACAAAGTCTGGTTAATATCTCTTTTGTGCAGGAACTATTTTCAACTGACTTCTTTGACTTTTTAAAGCAGAAGGAGGAATAAAATGCTTCAAGCACAACAACCATATCAACCAAACCAAAGAAACATTATATTTACAGACCAAATGCGCTTTTTATGTTGTAGAAATGAACAATACTAACAGGGCAACGACTCTAGATGTAGTCTGGCTTTATACAGTTTGATTCACGCTAAATAAAATCCAAACCAACAAAGCAGAGATAGTTTAGACCCCCCCTCCCCCACAGCCTGAAGCGGCTGTAGCCATGCTGTGCAGAGCAGCCAGGAGGGTCCCATATGGAGAACCGGGGCGATGTAGTCCAAGTGACTGAGCTCACACAGCTCCACTGAACATTAACATCTAGACCCAGCTGTCCAGGCCAGTGTGTTTATCGGTGAGCTCATCTCCCCCTCATGAACAGTACATGTGCAGAAACAGACATAATCAGAGTTGTAAAGTAACTAAGTACAAATACTTCTTTACTTAAGTAGAATTTTTGGGTATCTGTACTTTACTTGAGTAATTATTTTTCAGCCTACTTTTAGCTTCTACTTCTTACATTTTAACACAGTTATCTGTACTTTCTACTCCTTACATTGTTTAAAAGGCAAAAAGTAGAAAGTTGTTACTTTTATTTCCTTTTTTGCTTGTTTTCATTCCAGCTTGTTATTGTAAAAAATAAATACTATCCATATAAATTGTGCCTTTGAGATAGAGTGAATTTAACTGGTTGAATGAGAAGTATAAACATATAAAATTCTGATACCGTATTAGTTTATACTCAAACAAATCATGTTGCACTCCAGCAGGACATAATCATTAAAATAAAACAACTGTACTTAAGAAGTATTTGTA